GGGAATCAGGGACTGATTTGGATTCTGCACTTTTCCTGGCCCTATTTCCACTTCAAAATAATGTGTCCATGACAACCCCTTATGTTGGAGGCTTTCTAGTACACTTGCTGGTGGAAAAGCCACTCAGTGGAATTCCCTCACACATTCTCCTTCTGGAAATACCTGGTAAGAATTTCACCTTTGAGACCCAGATAAAAAAGAATTAAGGGCACGCATGGGTGTGAACTTCGCAGGGACTGATCTTGAGCAGGGAGCTCAGGGTTTATTCAGCTGAGCTTCCCAGGAACATTTTGGTCAACAAATCAGTAAATATCAGGCATCTAGAACCAGGCCAGGCAGAGAGAGAGGTTGGAGGGTAATACCAGTAAAACTAACATTAAAGGGTCTATTCTTTGGTAATGGCCTTTCCCTTGTCTTGTAACAAAGACAATAATAATGTTAGTTAAAGTTGAAGGCAGCAGGAAAAGAGGAAGCATAATGTTAGTTAAAGCTGAAGGCAGCAGGAAAAGAGGAAGACTGAATACGAAATGGATTGACTTCCTAAAGCTTCCTTAAGCCTTAAGTTTACAAGAGCTGGACCAGGCTATTGAGAATAAAGCACTTTGGAGGTCACTCATTCATAAGGTTATCAAAAGTCAGAGGTGATTTGATGGTATTTATAAAATGATTGTATGTTAACAGATGTGGTACGGTTTTAAATAAAACATGTTCAAGTCAGAGAAGACACACTGGAATCTCTTGATGGATTTTATTCATCTGTTTTGCCTTAGAATCTGTTGAGATAGTCATTGTTGAAGAAAAGAACTTCAAAGACATTCAAGCAAAGACGTTTGTGCTTTATTTATTAATGGGCGTTGGTGGTTCTTTTTGCATTTCATCTCTATCTTCACTATTATATCTCTCAGCCACTCAAGCACAATAACCTAGCCACCCTAAGCAATTTTCCATATATCTAATGAACTGGGCTATAGGGCAGTGAACAAAATCTTTTTAAGAAACCATGCCACAATACTCTTTGTTGTTTCTGCTGCAATAGCCTAATATGGCTACTACAGCAACTCCTGTGATATCTTAGTGTTGACTACAGCGAATTGGTGCTGATGGGCCATCTAGGCCAACACATGTGGAAAGCCAGAGTCTCCAGCATCCACTTTGTTCTACAGTACCCATTTTGCAAACTGGTAGCCATGAGAGTACAGCTAATGACAGTGGTGGTTGGTGCCTGTTGTGATAGGTGGACCAGGCAGTAGCCAGTGATGGGTGATGGAATACTTGCCATCCCTTCCCCTTCATCATTCTCTCTCCCCCACCTCCCAACACCCAGGGGAACACACAGCTCTGATTCTCAGCACATCGTGTAAGGAAGCAGGTAGGAGTGGGCTACCTAGGCATAGCCTGAGGCTGCAGCAGCATCCCCTGCACTGAAGAGATCAACTGCCACTGGCTAATGCTTCTATCCATAATACTTCTGCTCCCCTACACACCATCAGGATTGATCCTACAGCCCTCTTTTGTCTATTGAGCAGTTGCATAGTTCAGCTTTCTGCCGTTCTGCTTGGGTCCAATCCACATTTGTACAATGACTTCGGCAACAGCCATTCACGTACAGGCTATTTGCCCAAAATTTGTGTTACCAAATGACGGGTACAGAACATTGCACTTGGAAGAACAAGCATGTTTGGTTTGAAGCAGTGATCTGGGTCTGACAGGTTAAAAGAGTATTCATTTCCTGGCAGTTTCTGTTTATGTAGCTGATGTTAGTCCTTCCCCTCCTGCTTTCTGAACTCCAAGAATCCTCACACATGACACCCTGGACGAGAAGGGAAACTATGAGTCCAGGAGGGGGAGCCCTTGCCCCAGGGTCTGCTAAACAGTAATAGAGAAATGGGTTGTGTGTGTGCGTGTGTGTGTGTGTTTTGCCTTTGTTCAACCCACAAAATAAGTTGCAGGTGAAAGCAATTTGTTTTATTGGCTCAATTTGTTATTCAGATATGCTACAAACTATAGAAAACAACTCTTGCTGCTGGCTGTCTTCTTCATCTGCTGTGAATTATTTTATAGGAATTTTCCATCATGCCATTTAGTTATCCTCCCTAACTTGCCTTATGGTGGGAAGAAGACCCTTATTTTTGGATCCAGACTTGAGGGATATCATTCCTGTCAGCACAGCCTTGAGACTAGACTACGGGAGTACATTTCACAAGGAAGATTGTGCTTGACAACTGGAAAATCCAACTGAATTAGAAAGTAGCAGCTTGCATTTTTGGACTATGTCTCTAAAGAGAGACATTGAGAGACCTGGCATCTGTAGACCAAAGACTGGGATAAAGTGGGAGCGCTTCTAAGGAACCAAAATAAAATGTGAACCCAAAATTCCCTGGTTTGAATCTCGCCTGTCTTCTAACCTCTCTACAGGGGCATAGGGGCACCACTCTCTTCCTCTTCCTCTCTCCCCATCCCCAACGAGGGATAATATTATCGGCTGATTTTTACAACAGAATTTGGCCCTACAACTCCCATTAACCAATGGCCATGCTGGCTGGGACTTGTGAGAGCTGAAGGCAAAAAGATTTGGAATGCGAAAGGTTTCCGATTCCGTTTTTAACAGGATGGTGCAATGATGAGAACTCCATTATGTATGTGAAGCATACCACACACAAAATTTTATTAAGCATAAGAATGCAACAATCATTTTTTTAACAGGATGGTGCAATGATGAAAACTCCATTATGTATGTGAAGCAGTTTCAAAAGCATGCAACATACTACACACAAAATACTTTTATTAAGCATAAGAATGCAACAATCATAATACTGTAGTTGGATAGCTCCAAGAGTTCGAGGACCTGGCTGCAGATCCAGGAGTGGGGGTTTGAGTCTCCACTGTGCCTCTGGGAGAAGAGCCAGCCTGTGTAGTCTGTGTAGCCTTGGGTGAGTGAGTGGCACAGTCCCAGGGTGCCCCCCCCCCAAAAAAGAAAAGACCATTCTGAGTATAATTAGGAAGCTCTGGCAAGGGTCACCATATGTTGCAAAGAAGGTTAGTCTGGTTCCCATCTTGCTTGCAAAGGTCACGCATTCACCTATAATCATTGCCACCGCTGGCCAAGCAATGACAAGCACTTTGGCTTTGCAGGATCACAGCCTGGATGCATGAGGCAGAACAAACAGCTCCTGTAACTTCCAAAGGGGACGGGAGGAGCATACCCGCCTCACAGTGACTATGGAAGCACCTCCAGGGAAGCTGAGGTAAATTAGCACAACGTGAGTACCCCAATGGTAGTCCCACTCTTGCACACTCCTGTATCACATCCCCACAAACACTTACACGTCTGTTCATTATTTGCTCTCTCCTCGTTACTCTCCAACCAACACAGTGAGAAGGACCAAGGAATTGCTTCCTTCCGGACAGACCCCTCTAACCCTTCACCAGCCTTAACTAGCACACCAAGTGTTTCAAGTAGAATTGCCAGCTTACTTATACCCAACAATTTCTGTTCCTCTGTCAGGTTCCAGGAGGAGCTGGCCGTCAGGCCGTCCATGGACAATGCTGCTTCTAGCAGGGATTCCAGCCACGAGGGTCAAGACACCAGGTTGACTCTTCTTTCCTCTGTCATGGAAGTCTTGATAGCCTTGGAGTTTTTGGAACAACTAGTTATTGATCCCAGATATCTGTTTTGGCCTTTCAAATGCCACTCCCTGTTCGATGCTCTCCAATAAACATGATTGCTACCATCATGCCATAGGCATATTTTCTTTTGTTTGTCAAGGTATGGCATGTCGCAGAGCTTTAAAATTTGTAGTTAAATTCCTCTAGTTGTGCAGCAAAATTGCAGGGATTCGCCAAGCAGAATACTTTCAATTAACCCAGCTTAGTCCACCCCTTTTGTAATGAACTGACACTTACAGTCTCAGTGACTCACTCTGAGACCGTTTTAGGAGAAAGAGAAAAAAACATTTTCTTTACTTGCAGCTGTGAAAAGATCAAACACCAAGCTGACAAACATGACCATCTTTAACAACAGATCTCAACAGACTGAAGAGAAGGAAAGGGGACAGAGCAGTGATGTGGGGCTCTTTTTGAATTCAGGGGCAGGGAAGGATAGATTGACAGTCACCCCATCCCAGAAAGGTCCCTCACATTCAAACCTACTAAAGCAGTGGTCCCCAACCTTGGGTCTCCAGATGTTCTTGGACTTCAACTCCCAGAAATCCTGGCCAGCAGAGGAAGTGGTGAAGAATTCTGGAAGTTGCAGTTCAAGAACACCTGGAGGCCCAAGGTTGGAGACCACTGTACTAAAGGTAGCATGCGAGGTTGCAAAAACTCCGACATGGCAGACTGATATAGATTCTTTCCTAGTAGCCAGCCACCAGCGGGAAAGCCACAGCCAAGCAGTAAGGAAAGGAGGGAAGGTGAAACATTCTCCAGGAAGCCACTTTCATACACCCCTCCAGATGTGACTGCGCATGTGCCAAGAACATGCAGAACACTGTTTCTGGACAGAGATGGGCGGACATCCAGTAGAGGTTTAGAAGCAGACATGGAGTCAGCAAAGGAACTAGCAGTGCAGCCAATCAGTGCTTAGTATAGCCAGCAGTGTTTAGTATAGTAAGACATAATTAGAATAGGCCCATTTGAATCAATGGGACTTATGGAGGAGCTGACTCACCAAATCTCCATTGATTCTGTGGGTCTCCTCCAATGTGACTTAGTTGGCTGAGCAACAGGATGTCTTCCAGAGTGGAACAGGACGAGGGGGGAACAAAAAGGAAAGGCAAAGACATGATTGGCAGCAGACCCTTAATCCAAGCACGGTTTAGAGTAGCAGTTCTCAAACTTGGATCCCCAGATGTTCTTGGACTGCAACTCCCAGAAATCCTGGCCAGCACAGCAAGTGGTGAAGGCTTCTGGGAACTGCAGTCCAAGAGCATCTAGAGACCCCAGTGTGAGAACCACTGGTTTAGAGTCTCAGGAGCAAGGTGGGGGGAGGCTACACCAGTATAAGGTTCCTTCTAAGAGGGCACCCACTTTCCACACTACGCCATCATTTTCAGAAGGATGCTGACCATTTTTCTTGGCCCAACTCTCATCTGCCAGATGTAAAGTACCTCAGACATAGGCAAAAGGGACTGGCATGTTCCTCTTTGACAGGAGGATTTTTTTTATTATAATGCTATATGTATGTACAGTATGTATGCATGTGGGTATTTTAAAACCAAAAACCAGAACACAACAACCAGGCTTGAGGTAACTAACTCCAGACACAAATTCTAGATAAATACATCTAAATAACGAGCTAGAATAGTCACGTGCATGTTTTCAGGAAACTGTGAATCAAAAGGTCTGAGGAATTTGTATTAAGATGAAAAGAGGGCAAGTAGTGCAAAACTTTATTTAATACCACAGAACTACCTTTTTCTGGACCAAAAGAACAACAGTCCCAATCCAATTGTTTGGCTTAACCTAACAGGATTTGGCACATCTTTCCCCATACTGTTCTTCCCTAGAGTTTGGCTTTGTTTACACTCCTCTGCGCTGCTCTTCCAGCGAGACCTTCTGTATCGTATAGGCCTGGTTCTCTGGCTAGAAACTAAAGGCATGCTGTTATTGGGGCCATGCCATGAACATGGCCTGGTGAGGTGTCCTTGCTGGTGTGAGCTTACAGGAAGTCCCCAGTAGCAGGGTACAGGAAAGGACCGAAATGCTGGGAACAGTCTGCATTTCAGGGCTATTTATACCAGTGTGAGTTGTTCCCTTGCTGTCCCATGACTTCGGGCATTGCTCCCTTCCGACCTTTTCTTCCATTCTCCTTTATTTTTAACATCACCCTTTCCTTCAACTGGGTGGCTCTCATGAGGAAATGGGGAGGGGAGGGGAGGAGTGGGAATTAGGACCATCTGCCCCCAGCTGTGAGGGAAGAGACTTTTCGGCAGGACAGGGAGAATCCAGGTCTCTTGCAGGAGTACCATTCAGGGAAACCAGGGCATTGTCTGGAAATGTTGCTTTTTTAGGACTACAACTCCCATCCCTAACAGCATAGCAATTCTCAAAATTATAGTACAGAAAAGCAATTCTTCACAGGTCTACAGTGTGGATGACTGCCCAGTGTGTGTTTTCAGTCCACAAGAGGAAGTGCCTTTATATCAGGGCAGGATAGTGGTCCATCTAGCCCACGCTTACATCTTCTGCTTAGCTGCAACTCTTTGGGGTCTCGGGGTTCAGAGGTCCTTCCCATCACCTGCTACCTGATCTTTTTGAACAGGAGGAGGGCAGAACATGGAACCCTGTGCAGAAAAGCACATATTCCAGCATGGAGCTACAGTCCTAACTGTATATCTGGTTGTTAATATTCTATGCACGTAACAAACATGTCTGAAATTTAATTTTGGCTGTTCTATGCACGGCATTGACTCTTCCCTCCCCTTCCCTTCTCTTCCCCAACCTTGAAGACTCTGTGAATGTAATGCTGCTACCTCATGAAGTTTCAGCACCATAATCTCATGGATCCTTGCTTTGCTGGGGTTCCACTCGAAAAGCATCCATTGGCTGCTGTCTCCTCCATTCAGAGGGACTAAGTAAAATGGATAAAACCCATGGCAGTGCACTTAAGCCTGTCACTTTGTCGGAAGCCATCAACAACTTTCAAGAATAGCTCTCAGGAACATCTATTGACTGTAGAGACTACCTCCTGCACTGACCAGGTCCCACTTCCAACACAAAAAAAGACAAGAGGCTGTTACTAAAAGGGACCTTAATATAGGGTTGCCTGCTTCTTTACTCAATAAAATGACACACAACTTTTAGTTGGCAAGACCTAGCAAGGCCATTAATTGTAGGAACATTTGGAGGTCATTAATTCACAGGGTTGCTATTAAGTTGGAAGTGCAAAACAAACTTTTTCTCCAAGCAAGGATCCTGAGTTGTTTTTGGCTTTGTTTGCTTAAAACACGAGGCTCCTTCTATCTCCAGTTTGCAGGGGGAGGTGAGATTCTGAAAAGCACAGGAATTCTTTCTGGAGAAAAACTTGGCCAGCTTTTTTTTTTGTCGTTTCTCCTTTATATTGTACTGAATCCAGAAGTTAAAAAGAAGCAGCAGCAAAGATTGCATAGAGCAATCTTCATGCCTTCTAGAGGTAAAAGATAGTGGATAGCTCTTTGTGTATTATTTCGAATTCAAATATTTAAGAATTAATTATTCACCAGCAAACTGCGAGGCAGGAGTTTTAAAAGGAGAAAGGAAGAGTGTCCCCATCCTCCTAAATAAAAACAGACACAGAAACAGCACTCCACCCGATCACAAGCCTTTGCGGCAGAAGCCCAAAACATTACACGACCGTTTTCTTCTGTTTAGGCCCCACTGCCTGCGTGGGGCGAAAGGCGGGCACTCCTCGGTGCTGCTGAGGGAAAAACAGGGTTGCGATGCCGCCATAGTGGATGCGCTTCCACGCCGCCACCAGCAGAGGGCAAAGAGGAGGCAAAGAAGGCCCGGCGCGCCTCCGAACAACAAGCGCCGATGTGAGGCGACTCAGCGAAGGAAGGCCGCCCGCGACTTCTAAGCAAGGTTGGCCACCCGAGGCATTTCCTATGTTGCCTCAGAGCGGGCCTGTGCCCAGTCTCGGCGCTGCTGGCCAAGGCGGCCTTTCGCTGCCGAGGCGTTGCTCTCGCTCCCCGCCCTTTCCCTGGTCCTGCCAGCGGGACTGATGCGTTAGGAGGACGGCGCCGTCCCTGTTTTCTTCCGTAGAGCGAGTCGTGGCCATGAGGGGGCGCGATGCGGCAGGCTGGCTTCGCGGCTTGCTTAGCCGGTAAAGAACGAAAAAAGGCCGGTGTGGTCCCCGAGGGAGATGCGCTGCGAGCCCGAGGAAGTGGGATTCATCCACGAAAGCTTGCTATTGGTTTTATTTTTAGTGGCCCAATAAAAGGAACCACCTACTCTTGCATTCTTAGACGATGACGACCGAAGGTTGGCACCGTTTTATCTCAGAAACCCAGTCCTAAATTGAGTAAAGCCATTAAATCAGGGGGAATTTGGTGAATCAACCCAACCCTTATGTAAGTTTCATTGATTCAGTGGGCCTACTCTAATTGTGACTTACTACTAGAGTGTAACTGATTGGTTCAAAATTGGGAAAGGAGTACAACAAGGCTGTATATTGTCTCCCTGCTTATTTAGCTTATATATAGAATACATCATGCGAAAGGCTGGACTGGATGAATCCCAGTTCGGAATTAAGATTGCCGGAAGAAATATCAACAACCTCAGATATGCAGATGATACCACTCTGATGGCAGAAAGTGAGGAGGAATTAAAAAACCTCTTAACAAGGGTGAAAGAGGAGAGCGCCAAAAATGGTCTGAAGCTCAACATCAAAAAAACTAAGCTCATGGCCACTGCTCCCATCACCTCCTGGCAACTAGAAGAGGACGATATGGATGCAATGACGGATTTTACCTTCTTACAGAGTACAAGATGGTTGGACAGTGTCATCGAAGCTACCAATGTGATTTGGCCCAACTCTGGGAGGCAGTGGAAGAGAGGAGGCACTGGCGTGCTCTGGTCCATGGGGTCACGAAGAGTCGGACATGACTTAACGACTAAACAACAACAACAACTAGATGGCAGCCACAGATAAATTTTTGGCTGAGCCCTTTCTAAAACACTTGCAGCTGTAAAGTCCAGAGGTCCTGTAGGCTGAAGAGGTCCTTGGAAAGGTGGTCCAGATTTTTTACT